TCTGTTTTTTTTTTTTTTTGAGGAAAGAAAACGCTGTTCTTTATTATTATTATAGGCAAAGAAAAAGTTTAAAAATAACGTTAATAACCGGTATTTTTTCTTCTCAAACCGGTTTTGGAACAGTGATAATACAGAGGAATGCAGGATTAGAAATGTTAAATACCAATTCTGCTCGGGGTGAATTGATTGAAGTTTTTTTATTTTTTTTTATTTTTAAAGGGGTCCTATTATGCTCTTTTACAAAGTCTTGATTTTGTTTTAGGGTGTACTAGAACAGGCTCTCATACTAGGTTGTTCGAAAAACTCATTATTTTACAACATTACAACACCTCTCTCCCCAGTCTGGCACGAACGGCTGGAATAGTTCCTGTATCAAATGAAGGCCCGCCTTCTGAAATACGAAATGTGCTGTGATTGGTTAGCTGGGCCAGTGTGTGTTGTGATTGGCAGCACTCGGCGCCTCGTCGGGAAATGTCATGCCCCTTACCATAGCCGCCTGCGAGCTTCAGTGTAAATATTGCGTCAAAATCAAATAAATTGGAGCGCGATTTAAACCCGGATGATTGTAACCACTCTAAGTTCATCTGCCTTGGGAAAGTCTCCGACATTGTGATAACACTCGTTGCCTTCTCTAGTGCAGCTCAACCAGGTCTCATCCCATTCGTCGATATTTGTGATATCACAAATCCCGGAAATATGCGTTGTAGTCCAAACGAGTCGTTCGTTGTAGTTTTTGAAAAGTGATTTCTGTTAAATAAAATATCTCCTTTTGAATTGGACTTTGAGCTTTGTAACTTTGCAGATCTTTTTTATGCTCAAACAGCAACATTACAGACTAACTAAAGTTGAAAAAGTGAAAAAGCATAATAGCACCCCTTTAAGCCCTGCTGACAACGTCGAATGTTGTCCATTTGTTTTTCTTCTCTAGTCAACGTTTGATCTCGCAAGTCTCCGTGAGATCACTTGTCACTGAAATCGTTCCTACAATCAACAAGTGTGTGGTCTCGCGGTCTGGTAGAATCGTCTGTGTGCATTCCGAGGATTATAAGGCTAAAAATCACATGGTTGCTCACAAGTGCTCACATGGTTTTAAAATCAGTTAAGGTTTTAAAATTGTCTAGTGTGTGGCTATGGAGTTTCTTTTGTGTCTTTTTTTATTCAATCAAGCATACTGTGTTTGAGAGCAAAACTAATTATTTTGTAATTAAAAAATAAAAGATTGCAAAAAAGTCTTCTTAAGGCTCAAAAATAAAGAAATTGAAAAATATATATATTTGCAGTGCGTATAATTCTTTGAAAATCTTTATTTTTCTTTGTCAAAATAATTTGCAGTGCGTGTAAATCTTTGAAAAATCTTATTTTTCTTTGTGCACTTCAGACACTGTTCTGTTGTTTACATTTATGAATCATAACCTGCCAGATGGGCTAGTGATTTGATGTGCTTTACCCACCTGACTTCACTGGAGCTATAATAATCTATAATCTCTGAAAATATTGGCCTGATGCTTTACTATTGGGGGCTCTGGCAGCTAGCTACACTGTTGGCTAATCAAATCTATTCAGACGGCTTAAACAACATTACGTATTTAGATGGGAGAGCATTAGAAGAGAGAATAATTAAGTTCACTTGTCGTTGAGTTTAAGATGTTAAATTAGTTATCTTACCCAGTAAACGACCTGTTGCTCACCATTCTACAACCTTGCTCGCTCTTATGTCAGACTGGCGGGGATTCCGGGGAAACGTAGTGGGCGTGGTCAACCTGTGAATTCCATCGAGAGTGACCAATAGAAAAAGGCCTTTCATCCTGGTGGGTAGAGGCTGCCCACTGAGATACAACTTCACTCACAAGCAAAACTTTTCAACTTGCAAAACAAAAGTTTTAGACCCGCAAAAAAGATAGCAGAAAAGCGAGCAACATTTGTGGTTTCGTGATGAAAAGTGTTTGAAGTGCACAAAGAAAAATACGATTTTTCAAAGATTTACACGCACTGCGAATTATTTTGTTTTCAATTTCTTTATTTTTGAGCCTTAAGACTCTTTTTTTTTGCAATCTTTTATTTTTTTTTAATTACAAAATAATTATAGTTTTGCTCTCAAACACAGTATGTTTGATTGAATAAAAAAGACAAATGAAACTCCATTTGTGACCAGCCTTACCAGTTGAAACACGGAAACTTTGTTGCCTGTGTGAACACCCTTACGAAAAAGAAGTTTATTCAAGTGTGCTATTAGTATACTACTTTTAAACTAAAAATAGGAAAGTATACTTTTAGTCTACTTTTTATGTACTTCTCAGAAATGGGCTTTATGTACTTCTCAGAAATATACTTAAAATGACATTTAAGTATACTTGACTTATACTAAATATATTTTAGCTATAATTGTGCTCCTAGAATCCGTGTTTTCATTGTTATACTGTAGGGGGCGCTAGTACACATCTTCTGTACAGAATTTCCAAAAAACACAAGTGAAGAAGAAACCGAAACAACAGATGCTTCCACATGTATTCTAATACGATCATCAGACATAAAACGGTATCAAAACTGTGTAACATTATGGAATAAAATGTCGACGTAATACCAATGAAGAGGTAATAATGACTGTCAAGCTTTGGGGTGTTGATCGACTTTATCTACATTTTGATTATCATTCTGAATCCAATTCATAGTCTTTTTTCAGCTTTTTGTTCAAAATGTTGTTTATTTCTTTATTTTTTATTTACGAAACTTATCCACATTCAAGTGTTTAAAAAAAGAATGCATGAAGCTAGAATAAAATGTTTTTGTTTACAAGCAGAACAGACATAAGGAAGACCAATAGCAGTGATTTAAAACAATAATAATGAAATATAATAGGGAGTTTGGCTTTTCCACGGCACATCTGACTGGGCTAGGGTATGGCGACTGCCATACTCTGCCATACGGAAACGCCGCCCCTGTATGTAATGTACATAAATTGTTTATTTTGTATTAAATTATGTATTTTAACAGTGTTATTCAATGAAACCATACGATTATTATTAATTAACCAATCATTGCCGAGAGTCAGCTGACGAGAGCTTGACTAACATGACCTGCCAGAACTAACGCTATGCTTGATTGTTTTTATATAATGCTTGTATGTCATTTTAAAGGTTGTTGTTCGCTTAGGTCTGTTTTTACTACCACAAAAATATTATCTGATTACTTCGTAAATTATTATTTGAAGCGATTTGAAGTATCAAAACCATGGTTAATTTGTGGTTACCATTACTACAAGAACCATGGTTTTTTTTTCGTAGTAATATTTTGTAAGGGTACATGGAAACTCTGAGAGAATATTAAGGCAGATGCGGCGGTGATATTATTACCGACATTAAAAAACACTATACAAGTGTAACACTATACTAACATTAAAACACGTTATTAACGTCAACATCCAAAAAAGTTTAGAACGAACGAAATTATGAACGTACCTAAAAGTGATGCACGGGCTTCATCTTGGGCTTTTTTTTCTTTTTCTTATCTCGGCGCCGGACTACTGACGTCTTTTCCCGGGCATAGTTGTCCATCAGTTATGATCATTTGCCGTCAGCCGCAAACATGAGGTGGCGCGGATGCGTGAATGGCGCGTCACGTGCGCTTCACCTGTCTACTGCGTTCACCGTAAAACGCATTTTTTATAATTATGTATATATGTTCATGTTTATATTTTTATTTACGTATATGTATATGTTAATATTAATATAGAACAAAAGTTTTTTTGTTTTTTTTTGAGCAACTGGGATGGTGCCCATCCCAACCCCCTGGGAGTTGGTGCCCTAGGCAAACTACGTACTCTGAGTATAAGGAGCGGCGGTACTGGCAGTAATCATTCTGATTTGGTTAATTTGTGGTTACTGTTGCTAAAAGAACCATGTTTTTTTTTTTTAATTCGTAATAAAATTATGGTTAATTTTCGTAAGGGAACATGGAAACTCTTGAGAGAATATTAAGGCAGATGAGGCGGTGATATTATTACCGACATTAAAAAAACACTATACAACTGTAACACTATACCAACATTAAAACACGTTATTAACGCCAACATCCAAAAAAGTTTCATAGGATTATGAACGTACCTAAAAGTGATGCACGGGCTTCATCTTGGGCTTTTTTTTCTTTTTCTTATCTCGGCGCCGGACTACTGACGTCTTTTCCCGGGCATAGTTGTCCATCAGTTATGATCATTTGCCGTCAGCCGCAAACATGAGGTGGCGCGGATGCGTGAATGGCGCGTCACGTGCGCTTCACCTGTCTACTGCGTTCACCGTAAAACGCATTTTTTATAATTATGTATATATGTTCATGTTTATATTTTTATTTACGTATTACATACATATGTATATGTTAATATTAATATAGAACAAAAGTTTTTTTTTTAGCAACTTGGGATGGTGCCCTACGCAAACTGCGTACTCTGCGTATAAGGAGCAGCGGTACTGTTGGTAATACTGGTATTACTGTGTGGAAGGGGCTTTTGTCATTTCTTCATTATGTGTTGGTGCCATTCTCTTTAAAATGAGCAGAAGAACTTTGTGCAAACTGTTTAATGGAATGAAAAACAAACAAAACACCTCACAGATGTCATAACAGAACAGGTTTGATTACAGTTTACAGTACAGATATCTTTTAATTCTGCTACATTCAGCATATCAAACATCACAGGTCAAAACTTTTACTAAGTATTATTACAAAATTCATTAAAAAAATTGCTCATGCATATATGTCACTGTCATAAAGGAGGAGAATGTAAAAAAATAGCATTAGGATTAGCAATAAAAGAACAATAAATATGATAGTTTGTATAAAAATATACACCTTACTTCTGCATCCAGACAGTTAAGATGTAGGGAATGCTAATGCTGGGATGCAGTGGTTTAGATCTCACTCTCATATGTGTGTAAGTAAGTTTTTAAAGAGAGAATCTCCTCATAGGACCTGCTGGTGCGGCGATAAAAGTCCAGTCCTGTAAGTAACTCCACGTCTCGTATACGTGCTGTGTGTGTCTTCATCAGTTCCTCGACCCACTTTGTCTCATCCTCTGAACTCTGGATGAGAAGCATGTTAAAAACTCACAAAGCAGTTCTCGCCTGTTATTGTACAGTAAACCTGCACAATTTTAACTAACTCAAACTATTCAGCTTCTGCATTAAAGGATATGCGGGGTAATTTCATCCCATTTTCTATGTGCCACATCTGTGACTTGCTACTGTGTACCACTAGAGACAATAAAAATTATTAAAGTTGACATGAATGTAACCGGGGGCAGGTGGGATAGGTCAATTATTTTATTAGCAGAATTTCTTCTGACAGCTGGATACTTGCATATTTACAGGACTATCAATTGTAACAGTGGCACGGTCAGACTGCTCATATAAGTTTCCATTTACAAATATATTTGCTATAAACGTGTGGTAATCAATAGCATGGTGGAAGAGAAGAGAAGAGAAGAGAAGAGAAGAGAAGAGAAGAGAACTTACATTACAGCTTTCTTCATTATCTGATCGGTGTGGAAGGATGTAAGAGAACACACTGAGAGGACCAGCACAGGAGTCAACAGTCTGTGTGTAATCCAGACAACTAGTAACCACAATGTAGTAATGACTTGGGATTTGCACCGAGCCTCTGACATACCTGTAAACAAAGAAAGAGTTACATACTCAGACTGAAGGATTATATAAATTCAAGTACATTTTAGGACTTGTTAGGTCTGTCAACTAGTCATGGATCAGATAACTTAAGAGATATGCATGCATTCATCAAACACACCATCTTAGGTGCACAGACATTCTATCTACTCACACACTGTGAATACAGCATTGCCAGAAACAGCAAAGACTGCTGATGCTGCATGTAGAGTCATTTACATTAATATAAACACTGACCCAAAGACCTGTCAACTGCTGGTGTACTTAAAATAACTAATTTCTAAGCGAGAAGTCTAAGAGTGTGAAGACAACTTACTGTTTTATTGTCTCTGCTGAATCTCTAAGACCATTGTAGTCATAGTCGAAGATGGGTCCAACGACCACATTCACTCCATTTCTCTCTATAGCATAACGTCTCACAAGTGATTTCTGAAAATAACCCCACACACCTGAAACAACCAAACAAAGATAATAAGACAGCGATGGAGACAGAAATATGAATTGTTAAAAGACAAAAATTGGATTGTTAGAAGACGTGGCCTCAGATGTGTGCATTTACTTCCTCAACCTTAAACGGGGTGTCAGACTAGTTTCTGCACAGGGAAACATCCTGGGTTGCGCATGTAACCATGGTACCCCAAGAGGGAATGAGACGCTGTGTCCTCTAGCAGACACTTTGGGGAATGCTGCCAGCATGATCGGTGTCTGAAGCATGTGTGAAAAAACTCCAATCCTATTGTTCCACGTAGCCCGTCAGGGCTCGACATTAAGCCTTGACGTGCTTGTCCTTTGGACAAGTAAATCTGTCATTCACTTGTCTGAGTAAAAAAAGTTAGGGGGAGCCTTTTTTTTTTGGTGTAAATGTAATCCATTCTGAAGCAATAGTCTCATCAGTGCTCTATCAGGTCTAACTTTAATCAGCATATTAGAGATATTTGCCTTAAATTGATTTCTGGGACACTTTTTAACCTTAAAGGGCAATATTTTCCTAAATGTACATGTCATAATTTACGTCAAATTTTTACACTTTATCAATACATTCAGTTAGAATAATTAGACTATGTATGGCTGTTACCATTCAAATGAAATCAGTATCAATAAACTCCATCTTTCTACTGCAGAGGAAACACTGATGCTGCATCGAAAGTGCCATTTAGATGTATTTACACCGACTGTTTAATGAAGATAAGAGGTTCCATAAATGCATTTACACAGTAAAATTGCAAATGCATAAATAATGTTATAAGAATAAATGTTTAACTTTTCTTAACATATAAATACGAAATGTTGGAAAAATGAAATGATAGGCCTACTTTTAAAAATGAAACCAAACCACCAGTAGGTGGCAGAAAATCACTGTCTTAATGAGTGAGTCATTGATTCAACCAATTCTTTCAAAGGGCTAATTCATTCAATAAATAAACCAAGTGACTGTCTTTATGAATGGCTCACTGAATCATTGACTCACCTGATTCGGTAAAGGGTTAGTTCACCCAAAAATGAAAATTTGCTTGTGTTTTACTCACCCTCGAGGCATCCTAGGTGTATATGACTTTCTTCTTTCAGACGAATCCAGTCGGAGTTATATTAAAAATTGTCCTGGCTATTCCAAGTAGAGGTCTACACGGAGGACCCGAGACCTGAGGACCCGGGATCCGTATGGGTTCGGGGCTATATTTTAAATGGTCAGCCGGGTCCGGGTTGGGTCCCAATCTATTACTTCGGGTCCCGGGTCTGTTTAACATTGTGTGTAATACCCGAGTCGATCGGACTCGGAGAACACCCGGCCGTTATCAGAGTCAGTCAGCGCTGTGCATGTGTTGTTTTGTAACTTTCAACTTGTAAAATTAGGATGAGAAAAGTATGAGTCAGTAATTTGAAATAAGGTGGAAAAAGAAAAAAAAACACGAGCGACGTCATCAGAAGCAGGGTGGGCGGAGTTAATGCACATGCACGGTGATAATGGATACCTTCATGAGTGATGTGAGTTATTATTGATTATTTTTTAAATAATATTATGAATGAACCGTCTTGTTGTTATATCTAAAATTTTTGCTCAGACTCGGCTCAGAGAGCACAGAGATGATAGCAAATAAGTAAAGCTAACGTCAGCAGCCATGGCACTGGACGAGCAATCGTTATTATAATCCAAATGGGCAAACAGTCTAAATTATTATGCAAGTTGACTCGAGATACAAAAAATGCAAAACTGCAAAGTCGCATTTGTCATCCGTCACCGTGACAGCAAGTGGACTTTTGAAACTGGAATAATGAGTGGATTACGCATTTCAATTGGCAAGAGAGGAATAACATGGATGGAACTTTCTTGGCAAGGAGGATTGTGTGCATCACTGTCAGGTACAAGGGAGAAGGCTTCTTACATTAGGTAAGACAAAAAGTTCAATTTTCGCAACTTATTTATCGACTTAGCAATTTGCTGTGGAATATGTGCCGATCGGGTCCAGTCGGGTCTGTGTCTTCCCGGCTGGGTTCGGGTCCAACTTTCAAAATAATAGACGGGTCCGGGTCGATCCAGTGTAGCACATTTACGGGTCTCTACGGGTTCGGGTAAGAATTTTTGGGCCCGGGTAGACCTCTAATTCCAAGCTCTATCATTGCAGTTAGCGGGTGTTGCAGTTGAACATTCCACAAGTCCTCAAATAAAGCACGCGCATCCATAATAAAACATGCCTCACACGGCTACGGGGGGTGAATAAAGGCCTCCTGTAGCAAATCCATGTGTTTTTGTAAGAAAAAGATCCATATTTCAAACGTAACAAACACATCTCTCTCACTTCCAGTTTCTGTCATGCGCGGAAACCGTTCCGGCGGATGACGTAAGACGTCTGCGTTGCGTGATTAGTGACGAATACGGAGAGAGAACAAAACAAAATGCCAGTCACGAATTAGAAGTACAAATTGAGGATTTGCAAAGAAAAATGTCGGAGGATTTCGATATAAACCAAGAGGAGACTGGTTTTCCTTTGCTAAAGTAAGAAAACTTTGCTTCCTTTGCTCCTATAAACAAACTCGTGAGACCAACGTATCTCAGAGGCGCGCACGCTGTGCATACTTGCTGCGTCATCCACAGGATCGCCTTACGCGTATGACAGATACCGGAAGTGAGAGAAAAGTGTTTATTACATTTGAAATATGGATATTTTTTTTACAAAAACGCATGAATTCACTACAGGATGTCTTTATTCACCCCCCAGAGCCATGTGGGGCACATTTTATTATGGATGCGCGTGCTTTATTTGAGGACTTGTGGACTGTTCAACTGCAACACCCGCTGACTGCAATGATAGAGCTTGGAATAGCCAGGACAATTTTTAATATAACTCCGACTGGATTCGTCTTAAAGAAGAAAGTCATATACACCTAGGATGCTTAGAGGGTGAGTAAAACACAGTCTAATTTTCATTTTTGGGTGAACTAACCCTTTAATGTCGAGCCCTGCCCGTGATGTCTTGGGTGGGTGCCCGGAAGTATAAAAGGGCACCTGCTGAACATGTGACCAACATAGTTGTCTGAAGGAGACAAGAAACAGGCAGGCAGAAGCTCACAAGAGGGAGATCTGGACCACCAGTAAATGATTTACTAAAGAGCGAACACTTAAAATATCCTTAATCAGGAATCAGAGCCTGATGTAAGCAGTGGCCATAACACTAGAGGGGGGAGAAAGGAAAGGTTGGGAAAAGAATGATCAAGAAGTGCCAGCCTTGGGATGCTGGCGATCACCACATCTCTTATCTAGCATGTCCCTGAGATTTTCCCTCTGTTAGTCTTAGCCTTCCATTGCCAACTCCTAGAGGGAAGAGGGGCTCAGTTAGCAACACTAGACTTCTGATCTTGTCTATGAGCCTCAGCGATAGACAGACTATCCTCCCTAGAGGAAGATTTCTTCCTTATGGCCACTAGGTTGATCCACAGATGCCTCTCTGTAGCCACCATCGCCACCATTGAACACCAATGGCAGCAGCAGTTTACTTGGTGGCTCCTCAACCACCTCAGGAGACAAACCTCTGCCCTTATCCAAATCTCTTAGCAAGTCATTTCCTATAAGGCTTGTAACACTGCCATGGTGTGCAACGCTCCACCAGCCTGACCCGCTGCTACATACGCCCTGCAATAAAAGCATGATGACTCACCATGCGCATACGTCTCTTCAACAGGGGGCATCCTCGTGTATCCACACTCAGCCACACCCTCAACGTTAGCATAGTCAGCATGTTGAAAGAGATGTAACTGGAATGAATACTGTTTCCCCCAGGATTTAGATATCTCCAAGTGGAGATCTGGGAGAAATGGAAGACTTCTGGGGGCGGGACAATCAAGGCCGGCCAGAAAACACTGATCTAGTTAGCCACAGGCAGGCATAGGCCTTAATACAAGTGAGATCGAGTCGCTTAGTGGCAAGATCCATCATCTCCAGCCATAAGCGGAAATCCCGGGGGGGTCGGGCGGGGGACAGGACACAGGACTTTCCTATTTCACATCACACATACACAAGTCCGGTGAGAGAGAACAAAGTCAGTAGTTGTGGAAATCCAGTAAGTAAGGCTGTCAAGGCTATTTTATTCACTTAAACATCGGATGAAGTGATTATTTTCTCTTTAATACAGATGATGCCAATGTATTTTTCGATGAGTCGCTATGTTAGCAATAATAACGTTACCTGCTTGACGGAAAGGGTTGCCAGGTTTTTTTACAACAAAACCTCCCAATTGCTACTCAAAACTAGCCCAAACTAACCGCATTTCGAGGGGTCTCCCGGTAAAAACCGCGTTCCGGGGGTTAAAATACACGTTATTGGGTTCACTTCAACCCGCGGACATGAAAAACAACCCGCGGCAACAGTGATAAAGTAGCCCAATTCCGCGGGAAAACCATGGACTTGGCAACACTGTGACGGATAGTAATGTCTACAATGGACACGAGCGCTGTCGTGGCGCGACCACAGCTTGAAGTTGTCTAATTTGGCACGGACTCCCTCCTACTAGTAGTAAGGCTTTCCTCGGTGCATACATATCCTTACAAGTACAATTTTAGCTGTATTATTTGTGTCCCCTTCAAAAATTGCTCTTGAGAACGAAATTTACGCCCCTGCCTCCAGCATATCCCTGTATGCGTGGCTGGGAGTGGCCAGTGACAACTCAGTGCTCACACTATCATTGTCGTCACCAACCACATCTATCTCTTCATCATCATCCTGAAAAGAATAGCCCAGCAGCACGCTATCAGGATCAGATGACTCCAGTGATAGAGTGATCGAGCTTGCAGCCAGAGTTCGACCTGCGATCCCCACAAGCTGAGTTTCCACCATGCCTCAGCAGCAGTGGGACCCGACCCACAAGGCGCAGACACTTGCACCTCTTCCCTCGAGAAAAGAGATAAATGTGATCGGAGCTTCCGCATAGTGAATTTCTCACAATGCATATATTCAGAGCCCTCAAGCACTGAACGCGCATGCTCCTCACCCAGGGACAAAATGCAAGTTGAATACTTGAAATTCTTGAAACGTTCGCTCAGTTTCGCAAAAATAGTACACACTGCTTGCAAACAAATAGCTCCTGAAGACAACAAAAGTTAGTGACATGTTCAGCAGGTGCCCTTTTATAATTCTGGGCACCCGCCTAAGATGTCACGGACTACATGGACCAAAAGGACTGGAGTTTTTTCACACATGCAGGCATCATTCCCCAAAATGTCCTCTAGAGGACGCAGCGCGTATCACCTCTCTTAGGATCAACATGCTCACTAATTATTAACTTAAAGTGTGCTGTTGCAATCCTTCTGTAATTCTTATAATAAAAAGGAAAAAAAAAATCTTAACAAAAAATTAACTGGTTTCATTATTATTGTTGTTATTATTATTTTCTCAAAAATATGAATGTAGTTAAATCAGGCAGAAATAGTTCTTTAAGGTAACAACTGCAGGCTACCACTTTTTACAGAGTACTAAGAGAGGATAAAACACAAAAAACAGAGCACATATTCTGCTGTATATAAACAATTGAAAGGGTTGTGTCGCTATGTGGGTGGCAGCTCAGTTAACTGCCAGCACAGCTAATTAATCTAAAGCAGACCCAGCATTCATAACAGCCTTCTATTTTCACCTCTGCTGCCAAACCCTCTATATAGACATTTCTAGATTCCAGTCAGGCAGATTCCATGTGGGGACTCCATTTGAACAGTATAAAGGAAATTTTATTTACTTCTAAATTATGTTTTCTGTGAATATTTGTGTAAGTATTTTTGTTTGGGTGTCTCATTTCCTATGAGGGAATACAACGTGTGTACAACAGAGGTGGCTCTCATACTGTGGCCTGTTTTCAAAGTTCTACCACAGGCCACACACATATACTGCTTTCAAATCACAGACAGATGTACAAATAAATTCACCTACAAGGGTGAGTGTGCACACACGGAAACACATGCACACTTAATGTAGTTGTATAACTTTTTGTTGTAGGGGTTCCTGGGGGCCATTTAAAACAACTCAAAGTTTGCAACCTCGCAAACCTAGCTCTGCTAAGGCTGGCCACACACTAGATGATTTTAACACCAATTTTAAGCCCGATTTGTACCCCCAAATGATTGGGGGTGTGTGGCCCTATTCGAGGCTTGTCGCAAACAATTTTATGTCCAAAAAATCCTCTATTGTGAGGAGTCATTACGATTATTTAACTGCTCCCGATCGAGACGGAGAGCTACCGTCCTGCAGATTTCAGCTCCAACCCCAATCAAACACACCTGAACCAGCTAATTAAGGTTTTCAGGGTTACTTGATAACTATAGGCAGGAGTGTTGGAGGGGCAGGATTGGAACTGAAGTCTGCAGGATGGTAGCTCTCCAGAAACAGGGTTGGAGATCCCTGGTTGAAGCTATAGTATGTGCAGTGTGGCCTATTGTGTCGCCAGCATTTGATTAAACATACACATTCAAATGGTTAGAACACAAAGTATATGTAAAATTGTTAACGATATTTCTTCTTGGCATCAATATGGCTATCCACTATAATTAAGACAGTGGTATATTTATGACACTGTAGGAGGGTTATAAAGTCATAAATATACACTTAACTACATATAGCTTATTTAACAGGCACTTACGTTTCAATGCTGGGTACATTGGTACAGTGTTGGTAATGAGAACGGCATCATATCTCACTTCCTGAGAGGAGGACAACTCTATAAATCAGAAGATAATGAAAAAAATTTTGACAAACACCAAATTATAAAGCATTGTATTCAAAATTCTTGCAATTTGCTGACAATTTTGTGTACTAAAAACAATGCTATGACCCAGTCTAGACACAAATAAGTATTTGTTCTTGACCAGTGCTATCAATTGAGATTTTTCGATTTATTTTTCATTTTAAAGGTGACCTATTATGCCTCTTTTTAAGGTAATATAGGTCCCAGTTGTCCTTAGAATGTGTCTGTGAAGTTTCAACTCAAAATACCCACAGCTCATTTATTATACTATGCCATATATGTCGCTTTTTGGATATAATCCAAAGTGTGCTATTTTTGTGTGTATCTTTAAATGCAAATAAGCTGCTTCTCTCCACCCCCTTTCCAGATGAGGATTGTCGGTGCGTTCCAAACAGGATATATCACCCTCCGAAGGGCACTTTGGAGTGAAAACAATCATTGCCGCCATATTGAAGGGTCGTTCCAAACCGAAGTGCTCAAAACTGGCCACTTCAAAGGGCCCTTCGGAATGAAGGATTTCGAAGGTTACAACTGATGGACACTTCGGGCCCCCATGATCCTTTGCACAGATTCTTTGCATGATGACGGCACCTCCATGTGGGCACAGGATGAAGAAGAAGGGCACTTCAAGAAACAGTTGTTTGGTGCCCTACACCTTTCAAAGCTCTTACTCCAGAGGATAAACCATTTGAAGGGATTAGGGCATAAGGATGAGCCCTTCCGAATGGAATGCAGGGTGTGTTTCTCATGCCTTGGATACAATAAAGCAGGAGAACCAATATGTACCTGTAATATGTATATGTAGGAATGACACTGAAAATGGACATACACCAGCAGAATGAATAACTCTGAGAATGCAAGAGGATGTTTCTGAATGTTTAGTTGATAAATTAATGTTATTGTTGTTTTTCAACTGTTTTGCAATGATGGATGAGCAACACACTAAATACTGTAATGATGTTTGCTATGCACTATAAAGACATGTATAGTAGAACTTTAGAATCACCACTAGCTGCTCTAGCAAGGAGATAAACATGACAGACTGTGTACAGCTCACTCGGGGGAGGATCAAAGCTAATAGGGAACATTCCATCACAGTCGTGGTTGGTACCTTTCCCAATGTGATTTGGGAAAACATTTGGTTGCAGACATGAGTGACTCATTTGTAGATATTGTTTTTTGATCTATGGGGAAAAAAGGAGTGGGTGGATTTTTACTATATAGGGTGGTTGTATACACACACTGCAGACACAAAATTCTGTTCAAAAATAATTATAAGTTAAAAATAAGTGAATTTTTGCATAATAGGTCCCCTTTAAAAGTAACTTTTAATTTTATTCTTTAATAGTTTCATTTGGGTCCAATAAACTAGATCATCAGGACAGAAACTGATTAAGCCCAGTGCTATACTAGTTCTGTCCAGTTGGCTCCTGGAACTGGCCTAGCTTTGGTACATGAAACTGCTGAGGCTAGGCTGCACACTATAGAGAGAGTAGGAAACCTCACGAGGTGGATAGAGGAAGCTGTAGGAGATCTGTTTGTCTGCATGGTAGTTTGAGCAGGACTGACTGTAGGCTGAAGGAACTCTAATATCAAGCCGAACACAGTTACTCAGAGCCTCAGTCAGAGGGGTGAAATCTACCTGCAACAGAACATCCACACAGTCAGGTTTAGACTATAATACAACAGTCAACAGTTTATTTATTTAATTTGTTTTGTGAACTGACAACAGACCAACAGAATTTTGTAAACTGTACCTGTTTAGATACAGTATAAGATGTCCAGAGAGGCATGGACAAAGCTTCACTGTAGCCACTAATGTAGTCACTATGATGAAGGATGTAGTACTTGGTGCGGAACATCACTGCTGGCCGACCGTAGGGAAGATTTCTGTTGTCTAAAAAGGAAAAAAATAGGCAAGAGTAATCTTTTAATATGAAAAAAGTGAAAAAATATTACTACATCTGAAACCACATGAGGGTGAGTAAATGAAAACAGAATTTTCATTAGTTCACCCAAAAATAAAAATTATGTAAATGATTTACCAGCATGGAATTTCATATGACTTTCTTTTTTTCTATGGAACATAAAATTTAAAATTCTGCAATGCCCTGATCTTTCCCACACAATGAAAGTGAAGATTGGGGCTCCAAAAAGGAATTTTAGGCACCAGTAGAGTCTGTCTGTAGCAATGCCATTGCATACTTGAATGCAATGTAGGTAATTTTGGATTAAAGCATTGTAATTATCAGTGAATAAATTTTGGTCACATATCGCATGACTCCAAAAGACAATAGCACACAAGTTGAACTATCAACTCCTAGATACTTACATCATGTTGTTTGACAGCTGTGGTCACTATCAACTGTCATTGTATGGAAAAGATAGTGTATACTACAAAATTTCTCCTTTTGCATTTCTTGGAATTTCATTATGAACCATAGCAGCTAAATCACAGTGCAAGTTAAAGGGATAGTTCACCCAAAAATGAAAATTCTGTCATTAATTACTCACCCTCATGTCGTTCTAAACCTTTGTAAAATTACGGTTGAACCCCTGATGTCACATGGATTATTTTACTGATCTCCTTGCTACGCTTCTGGACGTTGATCGTGTTAATTACATTGCTGTCTATGGGAGGGTCAGAGAGCTCTCAGAATGCATCAAAAATATCTTAATTTGTGTTCCGAAGATGAACGGAGGTCTTCATTTTTGGGTGAACTATCCCTTTAACTGTACATCAAACAGCTCATTCAGAATCACTACACCAATCTAAAGAGAAGGGAAGGGAGTTACCATCAATAACTTGTCTCAGTCGTTGATTGAGCTCTTCCACCTTGTTCTGTAACAGACAGAGCCACAGTGACTCCAGGTTATATCCTCTTACTAGGGTCACTTTCAATGCCCTCTGCCCCCTACTTTTTGAACGCAACTGCAAAAGATTAAAGGTGAAAACCTCCAGCAAACGATCTACATCTGAGCAGAAATCAAAAGCACTTTTAGAGGCAAGGGGACGAATCACTTTGATCCAATAAAAGGAATTGGAAATGTCAAAATAATCTATAAGCCAGGGGTTTCCAAACCATTCCTTGAGCCTCCCCAGCACAGCATATTTTTGGATGTCTCCATTATTTAAACCAGCTGATTTAAGTAATCAGCTGAAATCATAGTCTTCTGTCATGTAACTTGAAAATAGACCCGTACAAAACATGCAGAGAACTGCAGTACAGACTTGTCACGTTTCTATAGCCCCGTTTCCACCGCAGGAACTTTCCCCAGGAACTAGGGACTTTGGGCCGGTACTCAGTGTGTTTCCACCGCAGGAACCAGGATCTAAATAAAGTTCCAGGTAAAAATTTGCCCCTCAGAAAGTCTCTGCTCGCGAGGTAGTACTTTTTCAAAGGTCCGGAACTTTCGGGAGTGGGACTTGCGCACTGAGCATGCTGATTGGTTGAGTTCACGCAGCACTGTATTTCAACCACCACATTCGCATAATTTTTTAAAAATATTACTGTTATTGTGTCATGAAATGTAGTTTTAAAAGTATTTCAGGCGAGAATGTAGTTGTTAAACTCAAATCTGCAGTTTTTTTATAAAGACAGCGCCTATTTGAAAATGTGCTTCGCCGATTTCGGAGACGTGGGCTCCACGCAATAACCGGGTGCTCATGCTCATATATCCCGACGAGAGCAACCTCACCTTGGCTAGTCCTTCTGACATTTGCCGCTGGCTCTGATGTCTCTGCAGTGGTTAAACATCAGATGTAAATCGTTTTGGGTAAATCTAACAGGTAATCTTTGGTCATTATTCTATTATTCTATTAATCTATTAATATGTTAAAATAAAAATGTAAAGAGGCAATACTGTCTGATATAATATTTCATTTCATTTTAATGTATGCACATTCCCTGAACTACATTTCTGCAGCTATTAATATGTTTAAATGAAACCGAAAAGAGGCAGTGGTGTTTGATATCATATTTCGTCTTATTGAATGTAAAGAGGCAATACTGTCTGATATAATATTTCATTTCATTTTAATGTATGCACATTCCCTGAACTACATTTCTGCAGCTATTAATATGTTTAAATGAAACCGAAAACAGGCAGTGGTGTTTCATATCATATTTCATCTTATTGTAAATAAAGTGAGGAAAATTGCAGTAGCCAAGGTGAGCTGACTGATGTTATCAAGTGCGCTGCTCTTTGCAGAATTACCGGACTTGCGTCGTCCCGTCCGTGGGAGTTCACACTCCTGAGTCGAACTCGCGAAGTTCGAACTACCGAGGATGCAAGTCCACGCGCAGACCTACGTCACCAGACTATTTGCCTATTCTTCGCGGTACTTTAGACCGCGATGGAAACGCAGACAGCAACAGGTCTGGGGAAAAAAAGTTCCTGGGACAAATTGTTCCAGGTAATTTCGGTGGAAAAGTGTTTCACTTTTTTTTTTTCATTTGTTTCAAGGAATGAATATTTAAGTCCTGTTTCCACCGCAGAAACTTTCCCCAGGAACTAGGGACTTTGGGCCGGTACTCGGTGTGTTTCCACCGCAGGAACCAGGATCTAAAAGTTCTGGCTAAATATTTGCCCCTCAGAAAATCCCTGCTCGCAAAGGTCCGGAACTTTCGGGGGTGGGACTTGGGCGCTACATGCTGATTGGTTGAGTTCACGCAACACTGTATTTCAACCACCGTTGAAAATGTGCTTCACTGATTTCGGAGACGTGAGCTCCACGCGATCAGCGGGTGCTCAGTACTCATGTTTCCAGACGAGAGCAGCCTCCACACAGCTAGTCCTTCTGACATTTACCGCTGGCTCTGATGTCTCGGTTAAACATAAGATATAATTAGTTTTGGGTAAATCTAACACAGGGGTGTCAAACTCAATTCCTGGAGGGCCGGAGCCCTGCAGAGTTTAGATTCAACCCTAATTAAAATCACACAATCCAACTAATCAAGTCCTTCAGGCTTATTTGAAAACTACATGGTATGTGTGTTGGAGCAGGGTTGAAACAAAACGTCTCGGTTACGCATTGTAACCCTTGTTCCCTAAAGGAGGGAACGGAGACATCACGTTGGATGACCGACGAATTGGGATCTCGCCAGCGTCCCGTGGAAGCCTCCTGCACCCCTACTTTTTGGCGTAGGCCAGGGCTTACCACAAGAAGACCAGCTACTGCTGCTATGGCACTACCCACTCAGTAAGACTGGATAACACTGGGAAAACGTACCCGTACCACTTGGACAGGAACGTTGCGGAAGCCCCATCCTTCTCGAAGGAGGTTTCGGAAGCACTTACACATATGAACAACTGTTTAGGTGCATATGGAAGATTAGAGGTGATTGTAACCCTCTTGGAAAATAGCAGGAAGTCTGCCGGGGAAACACGGGCTCTGAGACTATACCGTGGATTTTACACATATGGGATCCACTTAGGGGGGCCACGAGCCAGCGCCAAGGAGGATGCAACACTTCTAGTAGAGTGAGCTCGCAACCTGAACGGGCAGGGCACACCCTGTGCCTGATAAGCCAGGGTGATGGCATCCACAATCCAGTGGGCCATCCTCTGCTTAGAGACGGCATTCCCCTTCTGCAGGCCTCCGTGACAGACAAAGAGCTGGTCTGAGGTCCTGAAGCTTTGCATCCTGTCTACGTAGCATCTCAATGCCCGGACGGGACAAAGCAAAGCTAGGGCTGGGTCTGCCTCCTCCGGGAAGTTCCTGAAGGGAGTACTGGGAACCTTGGGCACATAGCCGGGCCGGGGCCTCAGGATTACCTGGGAGTCAGCCGGCCCGAACTCTAGGCATGAATCGTCGACTGAAAATGAGTGCAGGTCCCCTACCCACTGGAGGCCAATGCAAGCAGGAGCAGAGTTTTCATTGACAAAAACTTCAGCTCAACTGTCTGCAAAGGCTCAAATGGGCCCTGCTGTAGTGCTCTGAGCACTAGAGACAGGTCCCAAGAAGGTATGGAGTGGGGCCGTGGAGGATTTAACCTTCTCGCCCCTCTAAGGGACCTGATGATCAGGTCATGCTTCCCCACCGACTTTCTTCGACGGGGTCGTGGTTGGCAGCAATCGCAGCCACGTAGACTTTAAGGGTGGAGGGAGACAGCCTTCGCTCCAACCCCTGTTAAATGGGCCCTGCTGGAGTGCTCTGAGCACCAGAGCCAGGTCCCAAGATGGTATAAAGGGAGGTCGAGGAGTGTCCAACCTTCTCGCCCCCCCTAAGGAACCTGATGACCAGGTCATGCTTCCCTACTGTCTTCCCCTCCACGGGGTCTTGATTAGTGGAAATAGCAGCAATGTAGACTTGAAGGCTGCCTCCCTCCACCCTTAACTCCAACCCTTGCTGCAGAAAGGAAAGCACGACTCTGATAAGGGATCTCTGGGGGTCCTCTCAGTGAGAAGAACACCACTCGATGAACAGGTTCCACTTCAAGGCATAAGCGTGTCTCGTATACGGTGCTTGCGCCGAAGTGATGGTGTCAACTACCTCTTGGGGTAGGTCACCTAGAACCTCCGCGTCCCGTCCAGGGACCAGACAAGAAGTTTCCAGAGGTCTGGATGCGGGTGCCACAAGGTGCCCCGTCTCGGAGTCAGTAGATCCTTCCCCAGAGGAATCTGCCAAAGAGGGGCTGTCACGAAGAAAAACAGTTCCGGGAACCAAGTCCGAGTGGGCCAGTAAGGCACCACGAGCAGGACCTGCTCCTCGTCCTCCCTGATCTTGCACAGTGTCTGTGCGAGAAGGCTCACTGGGGGAAATGCGTACTTGCGCAGGCCCCGCGGCCAGCTGTGTGCCAGTGTGTCCGAGCTGAGTGTTCCCTCGATCAGGGAGTAGAATAACTGGCAGTGAGAGGTTTCTGGAGAGGCAAACAGTTCTACCTGAGCGGCTCCGAAACAACTCCAAATCAGCTGGACCGTCTGGGGATGGTGTCTCCATTCTGCTGGGAGCGCAGCTCGTGACAGCTCGTCAGCTGCCCGCTTGTGCAGACCAGGAATGTGAATGGCACGAAGCGACCTCAGATGCTTCTGACTCCAGAGGAGGAGGTGGCGGGCGAGTTGCGACATGCGACGGGAGCACAGACCACGCATCCGTGTGAACCACAGCATGCCTGGAGACCTGCTCTAGGGGCGCTCCTGCCTGGAGAAACGCAAGGTCTGACCAAGGAGAGTTTGCTCTTTTCCCAGTTGACCTGAAGGCCCAACTGGCTGAGATGCGAAAGCACCAAGTCCCTGTGTGCACACAACTGATTCTGAGACTGAGCTAGTACGAGTCAGTCGTCAAGGTAGTTGAAAATGTGAACGCCCTGTTCTCTCAAGGGAACAAGGGCTGCCTCCTCAACTTACGTGAAGACACGGGGCGACAGGGACAGCCCGGAGGGCAGGACCTCGTACTGATATGCTCTTCCTTCGGAAGGATCGACACATGAACGTACGCATCCTTCAGGTCAATCACTGCAAACCAATCTCAGTGACGGATGCACCTGAAGATGTGTTCCTGCGTCAACATCTTGAACGGTAACCGGTGAAGGGCCCGGTTCAAGACACGCAGGTCCAAGATCGGTCATAACCCACCGCCTTTCTTGGGTACAACGAAGTAGACGCCGGGCGAACTGAATCGCATAGCCGAGTCTGATGGTCCGCAGGAACCAGCGAGACGGTATGGGTAGCCAGGTACCCAGACACCACACAAGCTGGACCAGCAGGACCACTGACATACCCGCGGTGGGGCAGTGAGGTGGAATGCAGGGACCTGAAGAGGGGTCTGAGTGTGCAGTGCAACACTTACCTGGTTCCACAGTTTGGCAGAGGGTGCGTGAGTAGGGCCTTTGAATGACGCTTTCGAACCACCCGCTGCTGCATGCTGGCGAGAGAGGAGGATGAGTGTGGTCCAGTGTTGGTCCGTCCGTGACTCTCCATGCCCTCTTGGGACCCAGAGACAGAGAAAACCGCTCTCCTGTCGAGATTTTTGGAAACCAGATTCTCCACTCAGCCCTCCTCCGGGGAAGGGAGAGGTGCATCCTTCTCTCTCTGGGTCGCCCGTCCTGAGGCCTCTTGCTCTTCCGCTC